TTGAGTTTATCTTATTAAGCTACTCAATTTGATTGTACTTTTATTGAAAGTGGAGCTTTGAATGATTTTTAATCTTAATTGGAATAGTTCTTGGTAAAAATGCTTCGAGATTTGTATCAAATGCCTCGATATTCATGCCACATGGTAAAATTAGTTGATGTGCACCATTAACTCTCCTAATTTTGTACGATTTAGTTTGTATCATCCGAAGATAATCCAAAAAAATGAAAATAGGATAAATAAATAATTAAATTTTTTTTTTAAGTTGGTTGGCCTTGGGCGACAATTGTTGAATGTGTGAGGGGAGTGATGGGGGTTACGTTTCGAGTCGGGGGTCGTGCACGAACCTGGTTAACAATTCGTGCCATGAAATATGCCTCATGGCACGAGACCTATGGATCGTTTGATCCTTCACGCGAGAACCATGTGACACAATGAATCTAAGGAATTTCCATGTGGATAGACCGGTGGATCGCACGAGACATCCATTGAATACGTGAAATCAGACTCGTGTCACACGCCAAGGGATGTGAGTTCAGTTTTTCAAGAATTTTGAGTATTTCTCCACTATTTTTGAAACCTATAAATAGACCAAATAGGGAGGGGGGGAGGCATCCTTCCTCTCTCAATAGTGCTAGTAATCTTTGAACTCGGAATGCATTACTGGGTAAAGTAATCTACCTCTAATTACACCATGATTTCTATAAATTTAATTATTGACTAAGGATTGCAATTTATTAATGCTGATTCAATTCTCAATGTATCTTTTTCCAATTTTTTTTTAAATAATGATTGACAAATCATAAAATATACGATTTAAATTTACGATCATAAAATCACAATCAATTTTTTTTTTTTTTAACTTTAAGATCATATGCCTTTGCCTCTGATGCTATGTTGAAATTCTTGTTGTCTTCAAGTTCTGGGAACTTTATTTCATTGTTATCGCCCCTAGGATTGTTTTTCTCTAGGCTAAATTTTCGTAGAGCACCTAAAGTAGATTCTATTTTTGATGTGTGTCATTTATAATTGGTTCACCTTCCTGTGGTTTTATTTATTTATTTTTTATCTATTTCTAATATATTCTATCATAATTCACATAAGGAGGGCATTTGGTAGCATAATCTTAATAAGATTTATGTATGAATTTAAGGTATATCCAACCAAATACTAAAAAAAAATTAAAATTAAATTCAACGCTTCGTTCAACCAAAATTTCTCGCGTTCCGTCTCTTCTACAACATAAATTCAAATTTACGAAATCTAATTGTGGTGCGTATTTAAAAGATTTAATTTGTCGTCACTCGAAAGCTCCATCTTCGTCTCATAGGATTTGATAAATCCAGATTTATTGGATTTGATAAAACCTATTTAACGTAAAATCAGGTTGCAACCAAACATCACCCAAGGTCATTTAGTCACACTATTCCCAAAACTCCTAGGGAAATACACCACAACATGCTATGTTACTAAGAACAAACACAAATACAAGGATATGGACACTATACCACATGGACATGGTGAGATGATATAATTGTGAAAAATAAGACAAGATTTTATGTTTCATCCATTATTAATTAAAAATATTTATTTTTTTATAATTCTTTGTTGAAGAGATTAGATGTCGGAGCCCTTTTCTGGGCCTTGCTCCTCTCCTTGTCATTCATGTAATTTCTATTAGTTGGGAGAGTTGACGCTTGTTTATCATCGTGTAATTCCTTCTCTGAGTGAACTCTCTTCCGGATCATTTGATCTGGAGAGAGAAATTAGAAGGCAAGGGTATTTGATGTCTTCGATGACGAAGACAAACAAGATATAGCATGTGAGGAACTTCCGTGAAGTGAACTTCATGTGGATATCTTCCTCAGTGTACTTTCGAAAGGATATCAGGTCGAGACACATTGGGAGCGTATCAGTAAGAGGATCTTATGAAGGAAATCCACCACTAGAGATTCATATTTTTGTGTCTACTCTTGGGTCTTTTTCTTCTTATAAGAGCAAGACTTTATAGTTAATTACATATTAAGTAACCAAAGTCACTTAAGAAAACTCTCAATTAAGACTTTGTTTCGTCCTTAAGGGGTTGTCTTGTCATGCTCACAGAAGGGTTACCGCTGCGTTTTATTATGACTTACGACATACAATCATGCAGGAGCTTAAAAGTGTGGATTTACGTCGTAGCTAGACGAACGACCTCAGAGTCCTATAGTGAAGTTCACTGAGAGAATGAAAACTACAAAACCCTATCCAATATGGACTTATACCTTGCCTGGAAAGGGGTGCCATCTAAACCACTTAATCACATTTAAAACCCTGCATGACTAGTCTCGATGTTGCATATCAGGAGTTATAGGCCTTATTACTTGACCATCAATCAAGTTGCATGTCCTGAGACAAATGCGAATATAATTTTGAGATTTCAAATTTAAATGTTCTTATAGCTCGTTACACTCAAATTTTCAAATTCAATTGATGCGGTGTGCATCGAAGCAAACTGAGCAACATGCTGTGCAAGTCCTTGATGATGACTGCATAGAAGGTCTGTTTAAAAAAGCCAATCAGTATGCGTGAGCAAAACTCACTCTATAAGGTAGTGGTTCTCACAGGTCAAATCACTCTCTCTGTGCAATGAGTGAGGGGCTGAACACAAGGAACGAGAGAAACATGTCATGCATATGTTTACATATCATGTTATCATTCATGCTCCTAAATAGAAAAAGAGTTTCTACTCAATTTTATTTTCAATGTCAATCAAGATTGTTTAGATGCATGATGTCTATATGGTTGTGAATGCAGTCACATTTTTTTGTTTGTTGTTTCAGTTACGAATTTCAATTTATAAAGTTAAGTTAAAGTTATTTAGGTTGGGGTAGAAGAATTAGCCCTTAAGTGAACCTATCAGTAAGTTAGGCGAAAGACAAAAATCTAGATGTTAGCCTATAATTTGGGTAAACCTATCGAATGAATACAGACAAACTAACTTTTGTGGGTGCCAACCATAACTTGTGTCAGATTCGTTAGCCAACATCATCCAAAATATCATTTATGATTTAGTTGAGATTCATCCATCGCTTCATGTTTCATTCTCTTTTGGATAGTTTAGATGTTTATAGCTGGTTGACCATAACACCTCCTAACTCTGCAAAAGAAAAGAAGACTCAAAGGAAATGAACTTAAGTTACCGCAGCATTTTCATCCATGCCAGCTCCTCTCCATATTTTTGAGATCACCAACCTCAACTCCACCTACAGCTGCTGCCGCCCCTACCCGCAGACCCTCCTAGTGCCACCAAACCTCCCCTAGAACCTCTACAATTGCCACCAATCCTCTCATGAACTCCTCTTGCTACTGCTAGCCCTCTCAAGAACTCCACCTACTGCCGCCATCCCTCTATCACCCAGCCCTGGTATTGCCACATCTTCCTACACCTCTACCTGCCAACACCACCCTACCTCCACCATAACATGTTGTCTCCACCCCTTTTAGCTCCCTTATCTCTTGCCGCAAACCCTCAGACCGCCTCCCTCTCGTTGTGTAGCAGGCTTCACCACCTCCATCCTCACCCTAAAGGTTTGTTTGTGCCTGTGTTTTTTATTTCATGTTTTTAAGAACATTGTTGTGTTTTCTTTTAAAGTTTCAACATGCATTCTAATGCTTTTCGGGTTAATTATGGCATCATTAAGTTTTTGTCGCCTCAACATATAATATTGAAATGGGAATCTCATCGTCGTATGTTCTTAAAAATGAGCTTCAAATGAGGTTCAAGCATCCTAGATGTCTCAACAAGAGAAAATTTAGATTAGGAAAACACATTTTTTTTAAAATTTTGTGGTTCACTTTTATTTTTTGATTCTTCATGTTAAATCACTCAAATAGAATGAAGCCGAACTCTTAAAATTTGAGGCATTTTTTAGTGTAATTATTGGAATTTCATTAAAACTCTAAAGTAAGAATGCTCGAGTAGAATCATTGCTGGAATGGTTGACCTCATGAGAAATTGCACCAATGAGATAAAATCATGAGGCCATTAGGCTAAAACAGACAATATCTCGATGGGTGAGAGCTCCTACCATTATAACTGGTATCATAACATTACACTAGCTAAATATGAGAACCTAGTGTCATACAAAATAAAAAGCTACGCCATTGGATTCACCTCTTAAACCAAGATGGGATAAAGGTGCTACCTAATGGTAGTCATCTCTTGAATCTATATGGACCTTTTCTAAAATTCTATCTCATTGGTAGATCATTATTAGTTCAAATAACTGACAATAACATCAATTGCTTAAATGAGAAATATTGTAAAACCCTTTAAGTCGAATGAAGCTGAATTTTTAAACATCAAAACATCTTTTTGTGTAATAGTTAAAATTTCGTCAGAATCTCCAAAGTTAAATGTGCTCTTGTCGGAGCACTCTCAAGACGTGTGACCACCAGAGAAATTACATCAATAGGATAAATTGGTGAGACCACCTCATGCCAAAAGAAATAATATCTTGATGAGTGAAAATTTAGACGGTTACAACTCACTACCCGTGCTTTGTATTTCCCTTATCTTGCATTATATCCTCATTGTATCCTGAGATATATATTTCATGACATCATCTTGGAATTAAAGAAAAGAATGTTTCATCCGGACCGAGCTGTCAGTGAACAATAGAATCATGGCATTATAACATGCCAATTTTATGCCTTCAGAGGAAAAACTAATATATTTACACCACACCCAAAAATTTTAAAATTACAAAAAAAAAAAAAAAAACTATTTTATATTTTAAAAATTAAAATATGTTTTTAAAAATAAAATACAACTTTTTCATGCATAAATAATATGACTTATATACATAAAAGTTAAAGTATTAGATATATATAAAAGTATGTAATTCTTCCTAATAATACTTATAATAATAATATTATTTTTTAGCAGTTACAACTCTTCCCGCTTTGGTTTTATTTCAACAGTCCAAATTCAGTAAAACCAAAGAAGAAGATGAATCATAAACGTTAAGGTTTGGACATTACATATTTTAAAGACAAAGAAAATTAGGAATAATTGCATACAGCCAACCCGAAACATAAACATGTACAAATCAACCGCCCAGGTGTCTTTTTGAACCACCGAATCGATATATTTATGTGTACCACAATCAAACTACAACATGAACTTTGATATTTGAGTGGAAATTTGAAAAATAATACCATGCATTTAAAAAACATGAGCATCATAGAACCTCCTTCTCAAGATTTAAAACAGCCATGAAGGCCTCCTGGGGCACTTCAACCTTGCCAATTGCTTTCATTCTCTTCTTCCCCTCGGCCTGTAAGAAAATATTGGAGGCTTGTAAGAGAAACATGCATTGTTCATAAGTTATTGGTCAACGATAGGTTTAAGGGGGTATTTTACATACGCATACCGTATATTTTTTATGTATTTACGTATCTAATACCTAACCATTCATATTGACTTGCATGCCACTCAATTTTTTAACATCAAATAAAAAATACCACCATCATTATCTTTTCAAAAGCGAAGCGGTCCTTTCATGCATAAATTTAGGACCCTAAGCCATATGTATGTAAATATCAAGCTTCGGTGTTAGATATGTAAATACATAAGAATTGTGTGGTAGTTTCTAGGCATTCTGTACATGCATATACAAAAAGAATTTGCATTAATTTGGAAGAAATTCTAGGTGGAAATAGAAAGATGAAATAGATATAATTTATTGCAAATGAGGAATGTGATGGTGATATCATTGCAATGCTCTGATTTTTTTGCATGTGAATGCATTAACGAAAAATAATGGTCATGTATGATGGTAAGAGATAAAATTAATATAATATATAACAGATCTAAGAAAAAAAAAATTGTTTTCCAAAGCTCTTAACCAAACCACCATTAGACAGCATATTTCTGCAGAAACTAAGCTAAAATCAACATAAAGCGTTACCATGAAACTTATAAATGGTAATATTACCTTAATAAATAAATCAGGAGACTGAATTATAACTAAATGAATTAAAAAAGCAATCAACTTCCACCACGTAGGTAAATAAAAGAAAAGAAAAACTTGGGTCATCCTGAATGCTCTAGTGGGAGGGTACACTTCTTAACACTTCTTAAAAGGACTTCTGAAGGAAAAAAAAAAAGAAGATTAGAAAGAGGCTATCTACTAATTGGCTTCTTAGCATCTGCAATTCTTGGTTTGCCAAATTGTTATTGGGTTCAAAAACAAGCATCTCTCAGCAGGCGAAATTTTTTTCATAAGATGACAAGTTAAATCTCTTTTAGATTGAATATTCAATGAATCAAAACTCATCATAGCTAGTCCCACATTCCACTTTTGAATTTCACCACATTCAATATTTCATTAACTAGTTAAGTAAATTATCTTAAACAAACACTCAAAAGGCATTTTAAAATTTTACAATTAAACTATTTAAGTTTGTGGCATAGGTAACCTTGAAACAATCTAATTTTGCTACATCCTATTCCATCCTCATCCTTATCTGTGTTATTTCATCAATACTGGATATTACACCGTCCATATTCAGAGTTGAACTACTCTCAAACTTGAAGCTTTCACCAACTCATTTGCTAGTATGCATCCTTATATATCCAATCAATGTTCCAAAAACATATCATTCTAATTAGTGGTACTAGTACGGTTGTCAAAAAATCTAGTTTTTCACAAATAGTTCATGTTCGGCCCCTTAAAAAGCACATGTTTGAATTATTTTTTAAGCGAAATGAACGTGAAAAATTTTTTTAAGCTTGAATTATAAACAAGCTAAACAAGAACAATACTTTGTTAGATCGCGTTCGTCTCATTTTAGTTTGAAATAAGAAAATTATATATATTATTTATATAATAACATATTATATATATTTATATCTAAGTTAAATCACCATAGCTCATGTAGTGGTTCTGTTTTTTTTATCGCATGGAATTGTGCAAGTTCAAATCCAACACCCTATATATATTAATCTAATTAATTTAACGAGCCAATTTTGAGCCGAACACCAGCCGAATACGAAATAAACACAAATATGCAAATCGAGTAGAACACGAACACACAATTCACGAGCAATTTTGAACATGAGTCAATTTCAAACAGATTTAATTTCGAACGAGCTGAACATAAGCCAAGCATGAGCTTGCTGAAGCTCGACTAGTTTATAGCCCTAGGTAGTAGCAACTATTTTGACGCAGGGCTGGGAGGCATGCAAGGCTCAGAAGAAAGAGGAACTGACCCATCAGGGCTTGGGGAAATAGTGAACCAACCATTTGGTTCAAGCTTGGTTAGTCTGGTTGAGCAGAAGACTGGACCGACCCATCGTCCGCTCCCAAGGGGAGGGACATACCGCTCTCAGCGTCTCTATTTCCCTGTTTTGTCGCTTCTTCCTCCTTCCTTTCTAGTTGCAGCCCAAAGGGGAAACCTCCCCTTCCTATTTTATGTATTAGCCCTTATATATGTGCATGTGCTGAATTAAGGTTATGTATTGTGCGAGTCATTTTAGATTTTTGAAGAAAACTTTGTTTTCCCTTGTGAGGGTTGTATCTGACAACAGTTGATGCTCCGACTATATTCTGCTCTAAGGTTGTGATGTATCCTCTCCGATTTCCTTTGCAATTCTTCCCACTTATCTCCTATTGGCCGCCGACCATCCCTACTTCTCTCTGTTGGCCTGTCGGCCCCTTTTCCTGCAACAATACATGTTGTCCAACCCTCTGACAGTCGGTTGTACCTTTCCCAACCAACTGTTCACCTATCCACCCACCAACTTGCATCCACCCAGCCCTTACCTGCAGCTATACTCACTGCCTGGTCTGTCCCACCATCACCCAACATCCCACCACTTCCCTCCATGCAGCCTTCCTTATCGTCCCACCGCTCCAGCCTTCAAACCGGCCTCTAATGTTCCTCCCAACCTAACGTACAACCACCATCCCTTCCCTTTCCCCTTGTCGCTTCGCAGACCCCACCATCGCTCTCGAATCTTATGGCCCTAGCTGGAGATTATTGTTGTGTCATATTCCGTTTTGAGTTATGTTGTAACCCTGATTCCTTTGCTTAATAAAGTTTGCTTTTGTCTCCAGTGTTTTGAACTAATTCTGATATCATTTGGTATCGGAGCTACCCTGACCCTAGTCCTATTCTAGGGTTTCCTAGCATTCGCCATAACCCAAAATTTTTCCTTCGTACCACCAAATAATCCCGAGCCTACCCGGGAAGAGATATGACGTGAGCCCGTCGTCTTGAACAAAGGCTTGTGAAATTGATGAGTTAACCTAGGGGGATATAACTCGACCAAAATCTGGAAAGTCAAACGGGAGAAAGAGAGGAGGATCTGAATCCCTTCCATAGGGATAATTTTAGTGATGAAAAAGACAGACCATAGCTTTTCAGAATCCAATATCAGAGGAGGCCTAGAGGGGGAATTCTGAATCCCTTCCATAGGGAGAATTTCAGAGAGATCATTTGGATGGCACAAATACTTCGACATCAAACTGAACCTGCTAAAGTTTGATGGAGGTACGAATTAAGATAATTTTGCTGACTTGCTACAAGGAGTTTAAAAAATCTTCGAGTATAAAAAAGTGCCAAAAGAAAGCAAGGTGAAACTAGCCGCCATCAAGTTGAAAACGTCTCCTTATGGTGAGAGAGCTTATAGAGGAAAAAGAAAAGAGAAAGATGTGATAAAATTTCCAAATGAGAGAAGATGAGAAAAGAACTGCAGAGAAAATATCTACCCCCATACTACCGACAGTTAATGTCTCTGAAGCTACACCACTTGCAACAACAAGAATATTCAGTAAAGGAGTTTAGAGTGAAGTTTAATCAGTTGCAGATGATTGTGTTTTCGTCGAGCCAAAAGAGCATATCATAGCCCATTATCTAGGGAGCTCGAAGCCCACTATTAGCAATGTGGTGCAGTTGCAGCTTTATTTGTCGCTTAGAGATGTACGAACCTGAGCATTAAAAGTGGAGGGGCAGCATAAATAGAGCAGGTAGCCACCGCTAGTCAGACAACCATCAACATTTGGAGACACTAGTAGGAGCACATCTCAAGGAGTTGAGAAAGCTAGTCTGGATAAGAATAAAGTCACCCCTAGTGAGAAGAAGCATGATAATAGTAGCATGATTGCTGCAGTCCCCGCCAAAAAAATATTTCAAATGCCACAGATTTGGGCATATTGCCTCCAGCTGCCCAACAAGTTGAGTAGTGTCTTTCACCTAGCAGGGTGCCATGGAGGAGGTTAGCTATGAAGAGAGAGCTGAAGAACAAAGTGAGGAGTACCATCTGCCACAAGATGAATGAGAGACACTTATGATTCAACGGATCCTACAGGTTGAGGGTATTAGGGATCCGCAGTGGCTTTGCCACAGCATATTCAACACCTGCTACACGGGGAACATAAATGTATGCAGTCTCATCATCAATGAGGGGAGTAATAAGAATGTGGAATCTACAAAAATGGTAGAATAATTGTGACTCATTTCTCATAGACACTCCCAACTATATTTTTTGACATGTTAGAAGGAGAGCATAGTCAACATTGATCGGAGGTGCCTAATGGAGTTTTTGATTGAGAGCCAACTACAGTATCAGGTGTGGTGCGACATGGTCCCTATGTATATCTACCACTTTTTGTTTGGGAGACCGTAACAACTTGATCAGAGGACGCGACATGAAGGATTCAAAAAAAATACATTCCTTCACTAGGGACAGGAAGCGTGTCATCCTGCTTCCTTCGATGAAGCCCGAGATCACAGGAGCCCTTATCAGCACAGCAACATCAGTAAAACTAGAGTTGGTGCCGACAAGAGATGATGAAATTGAGATACGAACTCCAGACACGGGACAAACACGACAGAAAATTTTAGGATGTCAAGATCGATACCTTTAGCCAGCGCCACCACCAGGTGGGAAGGTTTAGTTTACCCCCACTTCAGATCTAGTTAATCCAACCAGTGAGTACTTTGGAAGTATTCAACAGTAGAGATAATACACGCAGACTCAGTTCAGTTCAGACTGCCAGAAGAATGGACTGATGGGGATGTTTACTTGTAAGTTTGGAAAGATTCTCAGATACCTTGGAGGACGGTGCAGTCGCCAGTAGGATCCAGGTGCTGACAGGATGACAGATAAAGAACCAAGAACTTCGACGAATGAAGTCAAATCTCCCCCAAACCTGGGAGACTGATGCGGGCTGGAAGACACGCTAGACTCAAGAGAAAGAGGAACCAACCCATCAGTGCTTGAGGAAATGGTTGGACTGACCATTTGGTTTAGCCTAGAATAGTTTGATCCAGCAGGAGGCAGGAGATATAGCGTCCAACATCCCTATTTCTCTGTTTTGCCTCTTCTTACTCCTTCCTTTCTGGTTGTCGCCCACAGAGGAAATCTCTCATTCCTATTATATCTATTAGACATGATATATGTGTGTGTGTGTGTGCTAAATTAGAGTAATTTTTTGTGTGAGTTATTTCAAATTTATGCATAAGTCTTTGTTTTCCCTTACGAGGGTCGTCTCCAACGACATGTGGTGCTACGACTATATCCTGCTCCGAGGTGTTGATGTATCCTTTTTGATTTCCTCCTTACCTCTTCCCACTAATCTCCCCATAGAAAACAACAAGCCTTAATCCTCTATGTTGTCCTACCGCCCCCTTTTCCTACAACAGTACTTGTTGTCCAGCCCTCAAACAACAGAATGCACCTTCCCCAACCGGCTGTCCACTTATCCAACCAAAAACCTGCATCCAGCTGCCCCTTACCTGCAGCTATACTCCCACCATCACCCAGCATCCCTCCACTTCCCTCTATGCAGGCTTCCTTAGCGTAGCACTCCTCCAGCCCTCAAACTGACCTTTAAAGTCCTTCCCAACCTACTGTATAACCACCAACCCTTCTCCTTCCCTTTGTCTCTTCGTCGACGCCACCACTGCCTTTGAATCTTCTCTTCAAGCCCTAGCTTTAAGTTGTTATTGTTGCACCATGTTTCCGTTTTGACTTGTGTTGTAACCTTGATTTTTTTCTCCTAGGTGACATGGTTAGGGTTTAAGATTTGTGGGAGTGTAAAGGGTATTTGGTGGTAGGAATGAAAATTTTTGGTTTATGGTAGATTCTTATTTGGTGGTAGGAAAGAAAATTTTTGGTTTATGGTAGATTCTAGGAAATCCTAGAATAAGACTAGGGCTAGGCTAGCTCTGATTCCTTTGTTTTATAAAGTTTACTTTTGTTTCCACTATTTTAAACTAGTTCCGATATCACATTTCTTCAATTAAGGCAAGGCTATCGTCTAATTGCCAAGCACTATATGGTAAGTATCGCTTAAGCAACACCTTAGTAATATCACACATTTGTGAGTAAAGAATGTTCTAGAAACTATCCTACTCCATGTGTTTGAAGTTGGATTACATCAAATGGGTTCCTTATACTGAAAAGCATAGTAATAGTTCACTAATGGGGGAAAAGGCCAAGGGGTAGTTTGTGGTGAACGGTTGAGGATGAATACAAATGAATGGGCTTGAGCTTTACATGGAGTGATGGAGGGTAGGCTGAGGTGGTGAGCTGAAGGATAAGAAGAGGAAAGGAGATTGGAGGGGAGATATAGAGATATAGCAAGGGGACACGAGGTAAAATAAGAGTAGTAGGAAAGGAAAGAGAAGTGGGAGACTTGGGAGTAAATCACATCATTCCATCATTATGGTTCATTAAATTTTAATGGAACCTCTATTAATAGTAAGAGGCTCACCAAAAAAAATAAAAATGCAAGCAAATTCTAATGCAAAAGCAAAATGTAAGAGTATCATAAGCTAATTAAAAACCCATAATCATACCTCATTACCCCGCTCCGTCCAATAAACCTAGGATAGCATTAAACTTGCCCTAATAAGTGTCGCCTTTAAAAACACTACAAGCATGTAAGTGTATGAAAGATATTTTCATTCTGAATATTAAAGTGAGTACTTCTATCCTGGCTTGTCCAATCTGAATTTGTTTTTATATAATTACATGTATGTCAAGACTCAGCCATTAAAGCAAATGAATTTTTTATTTTATATTTTTTTATGAAATGTGCCCGCAAACAACTGACCAAGTTTGATAACAACAAATTTCAAGTGGAAATCATTTTCTTGTCCCCCCATAAGTGCTTTGTTGCATGAGAAAATGTTCTATATCAGGCTTCTGCGTATGACTTGCTGTGGTATCTTTTGAAAACTTTGTCCGGCCCTAGTTTTTCCCAACAACTATGGGGCTTTTTACTGCCAGTGATGATTTTCTTCGCTAATGGTGGTTTTATTTGAAGATTTGTTCTCACCTGCTTAACTTCTCTTTTACTTTGGATCATATATCAACTGTTGTGCCGTACTTGAGCTATGCCGAGCTGTGCTCTACATTGTTGGGTTCTTCTTTTATTAGTTATCATTGCTGTTAGCCATGCCTTATTTTTTGGCCACAAAATACTTATTTACTATGTATATTTTTCCATGTTAGCTACATGTAGGTGATTTTAATCGTTTATTGATTAAAATTTAGAACTTAGTCCCTCAACATTTAAGTATGTGTGTGTACATAAATATAATGAATTAATTAATGCATTGCAGAGATATAGTATGTAGAAGCTCTATGAGAGACATCCATGAACCTCAACCATACACAAAATCCATTAAATCCAATGAGTATACGATAAAACAAAGACCCCTATCCTGATATTGTGAATGCTGGTTCAGCAACTTCATATTTGACTAGATTAAATTTTCAACACGAAGATGGAGCAACCTATAGGTATTATGTGAAAATAATTTGCTATAAAGCAAAAAAGAAAGCGGTTTCTTGGAAAGAGGTCACTAGCCAAGAAGATCCATTAAATACATCTATTTTGTGTGGCTGAGATGTTTGCTACTAAACACATTGTTTCGAGGACAATGTCATCACTATTTCAACAAAGAATTACTGTATTGGATAAATTCTTGAAGAAATAATGATTTTACGGTGGATAAACTCATTATCTGGCCAAAAGGGTAAACTACAAATGCAACGTCTATAATTAATTTAAAGTCCATATGTGAGAGAGAGAGAAAGAGGGAGAAGGAGAGAGAGGGAGAAGGGAGGGAGGAAGGGAGATGTTTTTAGTACTGCATATTTCAAAAGGCTTGTGGATAATCTGTTCAAAAAGAGCATAGTAAATTAAATGAGTTGGTAGTGATGTAGTAATTTGAGCATGAAAAATAAATAACCTGCTTCTTAAGCAGCTTCTTTTTCCTAGTAATGTCTCCCCCTACATAAAAAAAGGAAATGCTTCATTGAAAAACCAAATTGAAGATCCATACATAGGCCATGTATTATTCAACATTCCCAAAGACAACAGAAAATTTGACGGTAAATATTGACTAATACTATACCGTAGCACTTTGATAGGACATCCTTCCTTATTGCTGATAGAGTCTCACTAGCAACCACCCTCGTACCAATACATGCCTGTGACAAGACAATCAGGCATTCTTTTGCATGTAAATATAAACAGGAAAAAGTTTAGCATTCAGCTAAAAAATCTAATGATTAATTGGGTGCCAAGTAGGAACAATTAATTAAAAAAAAAATCAGCAAAAAACTCATGCCAATGAATTATCTGCAAAATTAAACAAAAGAGGGGCAGAGCTACATGTGAATCAAAAGTAATGGGGCACATTAAAAAAAATTAAAACTTTATTGCTCATCTAAATGAAGTAAAAAACACTAAATTGTTGTAATATTTTAGTTTAAGATAGCTAATGAAGTCACACATACTGAGGTAGTGGAAGATAATGAAATGCGAGCACTGAAAACATACTTTGTTCTCCAAAGGAACTAATATATATGACCTTCACATCAACAGCCAATGATTTCTAAGACCGAAACCAACAGGTTGGAAAATGTTAGTGGTGATTATGAAGATTAGTACAATGCTAAAGCAGATTTTACCAGCTTTTTGGCATCAAAATGTGATTAAACTACTTTAATCTTCACTTCTTGAAAAGAAAACCATGTTCATGCTCTCTTCAGATATACTTGAAAAACGTTTTTTCTTTTCCGCATCATAATCTACTTAAAATGAGTAAAATATGGAGGTGGTCGCACAAGGAAAAGTATACAATGAGAAGCACTGATGAGAGTTTTTTAATTATAAATAGGAAAATACGTGAATCTAAAAATCGAGTAATCCAAAAAATCAACAGTAAATAATATGGAAGAAAAACCAAATAAGAATAAACCAAAATGAAGACAAGAACCTAAAAAATCTGGGAGATATCGTAATTACAAGGGTCATGTTAGGAATGATTCAATAGTCATTTCAAAATGAGGATGCAGATATATTAACATAACGAAATATTATAAGAGAATTTGACAAGCATAAAGAGAGGTAGGTACAGGAGAACAGATCAATCAAATTCAAACATGGAATTTATATTTGTATAGAAACAACAAAATTCAAAACAGATTTTATATTTCTAAAATAGTTCATTATAAAATTTTAGATGAAAAGAGAAACCTTCCTTATATATATATATATTTGAAAGCCTAAAAATGCCAATATATTAACTAAAAAGAAAGATACATATACAATATGTGGGAGGGCACAAGCATAACACCCTACCCACACAATAACCACAAGTGGTTCCAAAACTAGAAAATACATAAAAATACATTAGAGACTTGAAGAAAAAACCTAAAAGTGCCGAAATACATAGTATCAGGTGGCTAGAGAGCGACCCAATTTGATCTTGGATCTAGAGAAGGAGCAAGCTAATAAGTTGGTAAGATGATTGTCATTGTCAGTAGTAACCAATGTATCATCAGATATGTTCCCGAGCTGGAGTCGACTTCCATTCTTCTTCTTCCTTCTGGAATAGACCTGTCATTCCTCTTCCGAAGGTTGGCTCACCTGATCTTAGTCTAAAGTGTGCTGGAGATGTACAGGTTGTTGAACATTAGAAGTAACTACATGTTGTACCAGCTGATATGTTATTGGATCAAAGGAGCACTCTCGTGTGTTTTGACATGTAAGTGAGCCTTCTTTAATAACAGTGAGTGGTATAAGCACAACTGGATCTGTAGTTATAGTATGTTGTTCTTCGTTAGGAACTGCGATGTTAGAAAGAGAATTGAGTTGCATCTTCTTAACAGAGATAATAGGTGACTGATCTTTAGCAATATCTGACCTTAGAAGAGAATGCAAACGATAGCAAATAGTAAAGCTGTGACCAAACATACTGCAATAAGAGCAATAGAGAGGGTGTGTATCTATTTCAACCTTTTGTCAATACTCGTTGTGAGTGGTTCTAATTCATATCTCATCCGGAACTGGTTGTATAATATCCCTCTCAACTAACACACAAACCACAGAGGGTCTGGTGACAGCAAGCGTAGGACTATCAATCTTGAGGGATTTACCGTAAGCAGTTACTAAGGAGTAAAAAATTTCCAAGTTGAACAAATGTAATTTTCAACCCGAAAACTTTATCCAAACTGGAATGATAGGGGACTCCGCTTTTGGATCAAAACCAACAGTCCACGTCAGAATTTTCATATAACGGTTGTCAATCTTGATAACATTCTGAGAAAAAATGCGAGTGTAATCGACATCGTGAGACAACTGAATCAATATGTGCCGATCATCAAGTAAACCAATAATGCAACTGCCCAACAACTTCATAGCATTAAATTCTTTTCGAATGATCTCAAGTTTTGAGTGACCATAAAGAAATTTTCTCACCAGAGCAAAACGCCACAAAGATACGAGAGTACTGGTTTCAACCTTTATGAGGATAAGAGCAGACTTCCCATTTTTTCCAGTTTTTTTATGAAGGTGTGATCGCCACTACCTTCAAGAGCCTCATGGAATAATTGTGAAACATCGCAAGATTTACCTATATGAAAACCAATCTCTGAATCTGAAAGAGGAGCACGAGTAGGTATAGAGAGGCCGCCGGCATCAACTGCAGTGGCATAGGAATGGAGAGTCGATGTCAGCTCCGTCGACAAGATGCTATGTCGGACAGGAAACAAGGACGGCGGGGTGAAACCGCAGTTGTTGAACGCAGTCGCAGCAGTGAGCCGCGGAACAACAGTTCGTCGGGAAAGCGCGAAGGAGAGATCCGCGTAGCTTGACGAGACGAGTCGACAACGACAAGCGACGAGACTGGAAGTCCCTTCGTCGTCAATGGCGCGGGAGTCAATGATCAAAGGAGGGATCAACGAATGCAGGAGAGATCGAGGAACGCAAAATTAGTAGTCGAGTACGAGAGTTTCGTCGTCGAGCACGACGGTAAAGCCGAAGGTCAAGCCAGGGAATCGTCATCGGGCGAAACCCTAGCGGAGCAGCTCACCACCGACGCCATTCCACAACCCAATGGCTAATATATTAAAAAGAAAAGATACAGATACATTGTATGAGTGGACCCAAAAAATAGGCATCCAACCAACACGATACAACACAAAAAAAAGTAAAAAAAAGGTACATATAAAAAAAACTCAAAACCACCAGGGCGCGGAAAAAGTGAGGATCATGCCAATTTAGTCCTGCCCCTGCCTCTAGTTCTCGGAAGGAATCCAACAAACAAATTGGTAAGGTGCGTACAATTATCCAAAGTAACCAAAGTATCATCCATAAGATTCCTGAGCTCAAGTAGATCTTCATTCTTCTTCTTCCTCCTGGAAGTGTAAACCTATCATTCCTCTTCCAAAGAATCAGTCTGATGAGGTGGTAGAGCTGTAGCAGAAGTAATACCAACCGTAGTACCCACAATAAGTTTTAGTATATGTGAAGTATAAGATGCCTCTGCACCGGATAGTTCCTGAAGATGGGGAGCTGTGAGGTTCTCCTGATTATCAATCTGAACACTATCTTTTGTAAGTGGAACTAAAATGTCCAGAGCAGTGGGGTTAGCCCCATCTTTATTCACTTGAACCTTAGATTTCAAATTAGGATGAAGCTTGTGTCATTTATCAAGGGTATACCAAACATCTTACAGTAGGTAAAATATGGAGGTTTGTGTTCCATGACGATTTGTTGTCAATATCCATTATGAGTTGTGCTCAGCCAGACTTCAGTAACATCAGGTAAAGTAATATCCCTTTTCACAAGTATTCTAGCCACAGAAGGTCTGGTTAGATTGAAAGTTGGTAGATCTAACTTCATAGGGTCCCCAAAGATGACCCCAATAGAGTAGAGAACCTGATGATAAAAAAATGCAGCTTGAGACCAGGTAGACTAAACCAAACCGGTACAGTGGGAGGTTCATGATTTGGGTCGAAATCAAGAGACCACATGAGTAACTTCATTGATTTTCCTACGATATTAAGATATTTCTTGGAAAAAATCCAGGTGTAGTCTTCAGCCACGATTAGTTGAATCAACACATGTCTCTCATCCATAAGCCTCAGTTTTTACATGACTACTAGTTTAAGATTGTTGGCATCAATTTTTGGATATCATAGGTGTAGGGTGTCCACCTGTGATAGACGAAAATTAATTATTGCGTCATGCACAAATTTGGCTCAATTGACCTGAGCACATGCGAGCTTGTTCATATGGCCCCAAATGACGAAATGGACAACACGAGTGAGTTTGGAACGTCGATTCCACTTGGAAAAGGCACTCGTTGCATGACGATTTCGCGTACGGGCTTAAAATATGCATATTATCATTTTTTGACACGATAGTCGAAAAAGTGGTCCGAACGACCCCGGACGACTAAACGGACCACACCGGTGCGTCCAGAACATCAATTTTACTTAAGGGACACATTCATTTTATCGCGATGACGTGTTCGGCGAAAATGCACGGAGAGAGGTTAATTGAATAATAATAATTATTATTATAGACAGTCGTAACTCTATATATATAGACAGTCGTAACTCTCTAAAAGAGGGAAATTTTTCATTTCCCTCTCTTATCCTCCCTCTCTCCTCTATTCTCTCTCTCCCAAAACAAAAAAAAAAAGAAAGAAACGGTAAAAAATGGCAGAGAAGCAACGCGTCTCTTCCCCCAAGATCGCGTCTCTCTCCGTCTCCAAAGCTCCGATTCGCGACAGAGGATGGGATTTTATTTATTTATTTATTTATTTTTTCGCAAAAACGGTGGTCTCCTCCTCCGGATCGCGAGTTCGCGAACTCCCGCTCCTCTCTTCCCCATTCGCGAAAAAGGGCTCCTCTCTCGCGATCTTCCGGCTCCTCTCCTCCAGGGCCGGTCACCGATCCTCTTTCTTCTTCTTCTTCTTCTCCTTCTTCTTCTTCTTCTTCTTTCATTTCTTCTTCTTCTTCTCCTTCTTCTTCTTCTTCTTCTTCTCCTTCTTCTTCCATTTCTTCTTCTCCTATTTCTTCTTCTTCTTCTTCTTCTATTTCTTCTTATCTTATTTCATCATCTTCTTCTTCTATTTCTTCTTATCCTATGTCATTTTCTTCTTCTTCTATTTTATTTTATTTTATTTTATTTTTAT